CCTGCTGTAGTTAAAGAGCTTGAAGACACTGTACAGTAATTATTTGCATTCTAATACAGGAACAAAATTCTGCATGTACATGGATAGAAGATGCAGTGTTTCAAAATGTGTACCTTGCTTAACTACTTGGCTAGATGCAAGGTAATAACATCCTCTATGACCTCAAGTCAAAGAAACATGAAACGAAAACTCGCTATTTACCTGCTCCCCTGATCTGGACTCCATCATCAATGGCATTTCCGTTGTGGAAGAATTTAATGGGTCCAGAGAGCTGGCCAGAGAAGGGCGCGTACACGGTTGCTCCATCGGCACAGATGACATCCACACCTGAGTGCTTGCCCTTACCACTGCGTCTGCAAACACGTAATTAGAGGAGTCTCTCGTCAGGCGAATGTTACCCAGAGAAGTGAATTAGCATCCTCAAGGTACAGAAATACGTGGCTTGTACTGAGGCTGTGATGGCATAGTTGACTGCCTGAAGAATCTGTAAGTTTAGGTGTGGAAAGTATCACAGAATGGTTTGGGTTGGAAGGGACCCTACAGACCATCTAGTTCCAACCCCCCTGCCATGGGCAGGGACACCTTGCACTAGACCAGATTGCTCAAAGCCTCATCCAGTCTGGCCTTGGACACTTCAGGGATGGGGCATCCACAACTTCTCTGGGCAACCTGTCCCAACACCTCCCCACCCTCTGTGGGAAGAATTTCTTCCTGATGTTCAATCTAGATCTCCCCCCTTTCAATTTAAACCCGTTACCCCTTGTCCTGCCACTCCCTACCCTTGTAAAAAGTCTCCCCCCAGCTTTGTTGTAGGTGATGATCTGTTAGAGTTGCAGTTTTGCAAATTGGAGAAAAAAGTGCCTTTCTTCCATGCCTTTGAATAGAACCGTAGGGTGACAGAGGTGTTGGTTGGCAGGTACCTGTGGAGCACATGTCCAGCCTTCCACTTGTTCAAGACTCTTCCCAACACCAGCCCAAGTCTGGCATGGCTTAGTCTGAGTCATAAAAGCCTCCAGTCAGAGAGGTTTTATGAGCAACGTGGGCAACCTGTGCTGGTGCTGCATCCCCCATAGTGAAAATGCTGCCTTGTGTCCTGCCTAAACCTTCTAAGCTGTAATTCTTAAACAGAGTTTAATTCTTATTTCTGTGAAGCAGCAACAAAACCCCACGTGTTCCACTTGGAGTACCTTGGAGCTCCGTAGTATCCGCAGCCATATCTATCACAGCCTCTTATCTCATTAGTAGGATTCCCGGAACACAGTATTGCCCAGCGTGTGTCTTGTTGTTGTGGGAGCGGTAGAATAGCTTTGAAATACAGAAACACAACATATCAAAGGTAACTTTAAGTTCGAAGTGTTGCATGTTTGTAACTACTAGGTAGGAACACACTGGAATTATATCCCACGCATTTAGTTGGATATTCTCCACAAAACTGATCACCCTTTAGGAAAGAGAAATGGAACGTACACCTAAGACTGGATTGTGATGTTTCTAGGTTAGGGTTATCTCATAAGGAACATACTTCAAAGACAGAATTTAAGAGTGTTCCTGGGGTGGGAACAGACTCAGTTTTGTTTCTTACTCTGTGCCCAGGCAGAGGGGACTGGACTCCCCAAGTCCTCCGTTCCTAGCAATGCAGTACCTGTATCTGCAGGGAATCTTCCCCAAGTCTGCTAAGATGCAGTACTGAAAACCTTGTTGAAAGGCTGCAAACAGATCTCTGACTCAGTTAATTGCTGAGACTTGATGCTGCTGTGTCGGGGGGGCGAGGGGGACGGGAAGACATACAACTTGACAACTTGATGTCTGCAGTTCTGTTATGCTGTATTTATGACGCATATATTCATTCTTTTGGGTGTTGCTGTCGGAGAGAACCTAACGCAGAGGGGACTATTGCTGTTTGAGACCATTGTCCTTATTTGCAATTAATTAATTGTTATTTATCATATTACTTATTCTGGGGGGTGATGTTGTTGGGGTTGTTTTTACCAGGCCCAAGAAGATGAGTAGGATCAGAGTGGTCGCAGTTCTCAACGTGGATGTGGGAGATAATGCCAGGAAACACCTTCTGCATTGGCAGCATTTTCCCGAGGTATTGCCCTCTCTGGATTTGGCCGTGGTATCGGGTGGGATGAATGCAGACGAGCTTCACACAGTAGCCTGGAAGAGACGGGAGGGGAAGCGAGGTCAGGAAAAACCGGCTGCATCTGTTCTTGGGGTGAGCAAAACCCTTCCGTGCTAGCCTCTTACTGCAGGCCGTAGTGATGAAGCAGAAGTACAGACAAGGTACCAACAATCCCAAAGTCAAAATTACTTGGATTGCTTTGGAAAAGAGTGAGCTGGAAGATAGGGACAGGAAAACATCCTCTCAACAAAACTGAGGACATGTTTCCGATAATTTATTCTTTACTGTTTCCTTTTTTATTTGAGGTTGTTTTTTTCCTGCTACCTGTTTTTCAAGTTTTTTTCTTCCCCCTCTCCAAGAAAAGCATAGGAAAAGGACTACATCCTGCTGGTGCTGACTTCCAGCATTTCTTAGCAGTCTAGTTGTGCTTCAGTGTAAGAACCGGAGAAGGCATAAGATGAATCAACACTTTGCTTGAAGAGCCACAGGAAGCTTAGTCAAGTAAATACAACGGTTACTTGTGCACGCCTCACAATGTATCTGCTCTTAATTACTTGCCTGATCCTGAGATTTGGACTCCGTCATTGATGGCATTATTCTGGTGGAAGAATCGGATGGGGCCAGAGAGCTGGCCGCTAAAAGGAGCGTACACCCCTGCTCCATCGGCACAGATGACATCC